AGCCAGAGAGATGTGCTACTGATGTGATACAATATGAAGGACACAACATCACTTATGAGATTTTCTTGCCAAAAAAGTTCAGCCTAAAGTGAATCAAGCTTAGTTTCTTTTCTTTTTTTTGAGATAGGGTCTTGCTGTGTCTCCCAGGCTGGAGTTGAGTACTGCGATCACGGCCAGCACCTCAACCCTGCAAACTCAATTGATCCTCCCACCTCAACCTCCACAGTAGCTGGGACTATAGGTGCCTGCTATCATGCCTGGCTAATTTTTTTTTTTTTTTTTTTGTAGAGACAGGGTCTGGCCATATTGCCCACGCTGGTCTTGAACTCCTGGGCTTAAGCGATCCACCCACCTCAGCCTCCCAAAGCAATGAGATGACAGGTGTGAACCACCACACACAGTTCGAATTAGATCAAAATCAAGCTTTTTAATCTAACTTCCAGTTCAAAGGAAATATAAGGGATAAAAGCTAAATGTGAGAATGCCATCAGAGAAACCCAGGAGGGGAGACAGTCTACAAACCAATTGGCCCACCCTCTTCAACAAGTAGATATCATGAGGCAAAAAGTAGTATGTGTGTGGAGAATATTCTAGATTTTTTAAAATTAGGAAGGGTATAGTGGCTCATGCCTATAATCCCAGCACCTTGGGAGGCCAAGGCAGAAGGATCGCTTGAGCCCAGGAGTTCAAGGCCAGCCGTGGCAGCACTGTGAGACCCCATCTCTACAAAAAAAAAAAAATTAGTTGGGCATGGTGGTGTGCACCTATGGTCCCAGCTACTTAGGAGGGTGAGGTGAGAGGATCACTTGAGCCTGGGAGGTTGAGGCTATAGCAAGACATGGTTGCACCATTGCATTCCAGCCTAGGTGACAGAGCAAGACCTTGTCTCAAAAAATAGTAATAAAAATTCAAAAAATAAAAACATATAGCAACGCAATGTATGTATGGTATAGCAACACTTTGGAGGGAAACAAACCAAATTTCTTGAGGGGAAGAAAAATGTTTGTGAACCTAGGACTATTTTGTAAAAGGAACACAGGGGGTGATTTTCTATACCAGATATTAGAATATAACACAAAGGTACAGTAATTAAAACTGGGTTGTGTAGAATCAAACAAACAGATCCATAGTGAAAATAGAGCCCAGAAATATATGGGAATTTACTGTATGACAAAGTTGGCATCAGACTTCGGTGGGGCGGGAAAGACAGACTAATAAATGGCATTGAGAAAATTAGCTAACTATACAGAGAAAAATTAGGTGGGATCCCTACCTCATATTTAAAAAAATATAACCCAAATATCTACATGTGAAGGGTACAACTATAAAATTAATATGAAAAACACAGAAAAATATATTTGCATCCACAACATAGGAAAGGATTTCTTTTTAAAAAGACCAAAAGCACACAAAAAAGGGTCATACAGGTTGAGTATCCCCTATCCAAAACGCTTGGGACCAAAGGTGACAGATTATTTTGGATTTTGCAATATTTGCATTATACCTAGCAGTTCAGTATCCTAACTTAAAAATCTGAAATCTGAAATTCTCTAATCAGTATTTCTTTTGAGTGTCATGTTGGTGCTTAAAATGTTTCAGATTTTGGGGCATTCTGAATGCTGAATTTTTGGATTAGGAATACTTAGCCTGTAATTGCTAGATTTGACCATATCAAAATGAAGGATTTGACCATACCAAAATAAAGGATTCTGTTCAATGAAGAATACTATAAACAGTTAACAGGTAACAGATTAGGAGAAGGGTTTTTTAAAAGACTAAAACAGACAGAAGTCCTCCCTAAAATATACAAAATACACAAAGAATGCCTACAAAATCAGAAGATAAAGAACCTCAATTGTAGTAAATGGGGAGAAGGATATGAATATGCAATTCGCAGAAGGGAAAACTTGAATGGTTAAAAGATATATAAAGAGGTGGTCAATCTCACTGTAATCAGATAAATGTATATTAAAACATTTCGATGTACCACTTTATATTCAAGTTAGCAAAAATCAGAAAGCTGGATAACATCCAGTCATGACGTGAATATGGTAAAGCAGTTACTTTTTCAGGCACTGGTAATGGGAGGCTAAACTTTGTAGCCATTCTGGAGAGTGATATGCAGAACCTAATTAAGCTAAGTCTCATATACAATAACACAGCAAGTCAATTCTTGGGCATACACCCCAGAGAAAGTATTCCACAGTTCTCAAGGGAAAAAACACATACTTTCTGCAGTGTTGTTTATGAAGGTAAAGCAAAGAGACAAAAGGAAACTGAGTGCATAGCACTGGGGGAATGGATAAGTAAAATGTGGTACACAATAGGATACAGTATATTAGAAATAAATACTAAATTTGTATATAGCAACATGGAATAAACAAAAGACATACAGCACAATGCCATTTATGTATATAAAGTGTGTATACACAGATATGTGAAACCTTGAAAAACAGAGGATAATCTGAAGGATGTATGTTAAAAATTCAAAAGTGGGCCAGGCATGGTGACTAACGCCTGTAATCCAAGCACGTTGGGAGGCCGAAGAGGGCGGATCACGAGGTCAGGAGTTCGAGACCAGCCTGCCCAACATGGTGAAAGCCCATCTATACTAAAGACATAAAAAATTAGCCAGGTGTGGTGGCATGTGCCTGTAATCCCAGCTACTCGGGAGGCTGAGGCAGGAGAATTGCTTGAACCTGGGAGGTGGAGGTTGCAGTGAACTGAGATCACACCATTGCACTCCAGTCTGGGCGACAGGGCAAGACTCCATCTCAAAAATCAAAACAAAAAATGAAAAACAAACAAAAAAAACTGCAAAAGCGGGCACTTAATGCATTAGTGGGAATGAGAATGGAATTAGATATGAGAAATGAGGGACACATACACAAACCCTAAAGAATGGTCTTTCAAGAATTGATGGAGATGGGCCATTGATACAGTTTGGACATCCCCTCCAAATCTCTTGTTGAGATATAATCCCCAGTGTTGGAAGTGGGGTCTATTGGGAGTTGCTTGGGTCATGGGGGCAGACCCCTCATGGTTTCATTTAAAACTGTGTGGCATCTTCCCCCACCTCTTCCTCTTGCTCACTGCATGAGATATGCTGACACCCCTTTGCGTTCTGCCATGATTGGAAGCTTCCCGAGGCCTCGTCAGAAGAAGTCAGCACCATGCTTCCTGTAAAGCTTGCAGAACCATGAGCCAATTAACCCTCTTTTGTTTTGAGACGGTGTTTCACTCCTGTTGCCCAGGCTGGAACGCAATGGCCAGATCTCCACTCACCACAACCTCTGCCTCCCGGGTTCAAGCAATTCTCCTGCCTCAGCCTCCCAAGTAGCTGGGATTATAGGCATGCGCCACCAAGCCCGGCTAATTTTGTATTTTTAGTAGAGATGGGGTTTCTCCGTGTTGCTCAGGCTAGTCTCGAACTCCCGACCTCAGGTGATCTGCCCACGTCAGCCTCCCAAAGTGCTGGGATTACAGGCGTGAGCCACCCCACCCGGCCACCTCTTTTCTTTATAAGTTAACCAACCTCAGTATTCCTTCATAGCAACACAAAGAACTAACCCAGCCATAAATTAGGAAATATGAACACTTTGGGGGTGGGCAGATCATGAGGCCAGGAGTTTGAGACCAGCCTGGCCAATATGGTGAAACCCTGTCTCTACTAAAAGTACAAAAATTAGCCAGGCATGGTGGCGCAAGCCTGTAGTCCCAGCTACTCAGGAGGCTGAGGCAGAAGAATTGCTTGAACCCAGGAGGTGGCGGTTGCAGTGAGCTGAGATTGTGCCACTGCACTCCAGCCTGGGAGAGAAAGTGAGACTCAGTCTCAAAAAAAACAAAAAGAAAGAAAAAAAGAAATATGAACAAGTGAGTTCAGTGAAACTAAAGTCTTAAGAAGAACATAAAAGAAAAAAAACCCTATAGGAAAAAAACAAAAGCCAATGCACAGAAAAAAAAGGTAACTCAAACAAAGGCTAACAAGCAACTTGGTTTAGTTACAAGAAAAAGTGTTCTGATTAATTTACTTTTAAAATTGCATATTCAACATAAGCTTATTGAATAAATACATAAAATTAATATACTTCAGTCTTCAAATTCTACAAGAAAAGAAAAGGAGCTGAAAGAAATAATTAAGCTGACCATAAGAGTAGCCAGCCTTTTCACCTTGAAACCTTTTAGAAATATCAGCTCTAAGGACAGTTATGTTGCAGTTTCACAACAAGCATAGAGCATTTACAATCTCCAGTATTTGTCCCCTGGACTAGATAAAATAAGCCCACAAACTAGCCCTAAAATGTTAGGTCTCTAAAGGATAAAGGCCATGTTAAACTAAACTACTATGTAACAGCACCCAGCACAGAACTATTTTAAGTAAGCATTTGTTCCTGATATGTAACTAGATTGCCTGTGTACCTCTACTATTTCAGCTTTTTTCGTCTAGTACTGTTATCAAAATTAATAACCCAGAAAAATAGTAAGATTAAGTCAAATCACTGCCAAAATAAGCTACCAAAATTATCTCCCTCATTAGCAATGACAGCAGAAGGCTATAAGCTTATCCTTCCAATCCTGTACATTTGAATATTAATATATTTTGCATACTAACAATATAATTTTGATTGTATCTCTCTCTAATCTCCAGAAAGGAATACAGAGTTCAGATCAGGAATCCCAGTTATCTTTGAGCTTAACACAGTATAGCACACAAAACTTGCTTAACAAATGTTTGTTGAAATAAATTACTGATTTAATAAGAGAAGTCAATTGGTAGTTCAGTATATGTTAATAATTACTCTTGCAGCTCTTTTGAACAAATAAAATAACCATGTACTAGCATATCTGGAAAAAAGACAATTCCAAATAAATTATAAGATTAATAATTTTAGAGACACAAGGAAAATATGTAAAATACATCAAGTCAACCCACTCAGTTATGTCTGAGCTGAACAGAATCTATGCCTATCTCTTATAAATGGATATATTCTTAACCTTACCAATGGGGGATTCTGGAGTTAGCCCCATGCTTTGAAGCAATGCTTCAGCTTCTCTTCTTTTTTTTTCAAGATCTGATTCTTCTTGCACAGGAGCAACAGCTTCTTTCTTCTGATCAGTCTAAAATTTTTAGGTTAAAAACTTACGTTTACATATAGTATGAAACATTTATTTGCAAAAATGTTTTAAATAATATGCTAACACTGTATACTTTTAAGGCATGAACTTAGTTTTGAGTACAGGTTAAGTTTTTTTATAGTCATTAAATGAAAATCATTCTCAACAGAGTTCTAGTAAATAACCTCCAAATGATATGTACTAAACTGCTCTATTTTATATGTAATCAAGGAGTTTCCACAAAAATTTTCCTAACAGATACACTCAAGAAGTACAGTCAACTTCAAATTATCTACAGTATGAAATTGCTGTCTATGGTTAGGAATAATAGACAATTTTCCCCAAGTGGCACAAAAGGTTAAATACAATATCACATACAATGAAAAAATTAAAGTGTAATTATTTAAGAGGTAACAAATTTTAAGTAAATGACAATATTTGTTGAAAAACAGTATCACAGACTTCTGTATAATGTCTTCATTTTATTTGGGATTGGGTTTTGTAAAATTAAACTCACTTTTGCATAGCACAAAACATTTTGTTATGAAAATTTTTGCCAGCTTTTATCTCAGCCATTTATAGTTTTAGCACAATCTTCTGGTTAAACTAGATAAACCTCAATACTCTCAGATCATCCAAGATATCTCAAGTAAAATGTAAGCTTTCCCAGGAAAAGTTTTTTATGTAAATCTCAAATCCCTATGCCAACTAGACAACTATTACTCAGACATTGTCTGGAGTGAATTTTGTTAGCCATAACATTCTATACCATTTTGACTTAAAAGTCATCAGAAAAATTAATCAAAATAATGAAACAGGTTGTAGTATTAAGCTGATGCTTCACTGTTGATAAAAATGTATTAATAGACTCACAGTTTAATACCATCGTGTTATCTCTTATAACATTTTTATAAACTTTGTTTTCTCCCATTGGTCTGTGTGACTCAATAGTTTTATAAACTTTAAGTTAGGTATAAATCATGCAATAGATATCCCTTAGAAGCCACTTTTGCCAGTTACGGCCATCATTAGAAAACAAAAATGAAATCTGCTCTCAGCACAGAAATGTTTAGGGTTATAAACATTTTTTTGGAATAGCTCTGCCAACCTGAATCATGCTTCTACCAGTCAGCTTTTAATCTAATAGCTAATGTAAAGCTCCAACCCTCTTATAATGTATCACAGAAAGGTGCAGAATAAACTAGCAAATTCTTCAATTACAGGCCTTTACAGCATCATAGTAAAGCTGCACATAAATTGTACCTTCAACTTTTCTACTACTTATTTTTCTCTTAGTCCCCAAGAGAGAGTTCTGGCAGTCTTGGCTATTATTTATGCTATCATATATAAAAACTTGGTCCTAAAGACACACAGGAAAAAGTACCTTACGCTAGCTATTTAAAAGATATCTGCAGTAAAAGTACACAGATATGTCTAAAGAGTTTCCATAGGGATAAAAGTATATTTCAATGTAGGAACAAGTAAAATGTCTCCAGCTCAGGGTCAATGTACATTTGCTGTATATAACGTGATGCATATTTCTGATACAAAAAAATCAAAAGAAGTACCTGGTCCACCTTTATGGTACCATCATACCTACTACTCGGTAAAAATATTTCAATGACTAACTCATAAGCGATAAGAACAAATCCCTTAGTCAATTAAATCATCTATTATGTATATTTTATTTGCCATTAATATTATCCATTCTTACAAATTAGCAGTTCAGACTAGCAAAATATTCAGATAAATTCAAAGTCCAAACTAAGTTATGATATATATATACACCATATTTATGAGCTATTATAATATAGACCTCTTGGCTGAGTGTGGTGGCTCACGCCTGTAATCCCAACACTTTGGGAGGCTGAGGTAGGAGGACTGTTTGAGCTCAGCGATTGGAGACCAGCCTAGGTAACATGGCAAAACCCCGTCTCTACAAAAAATACAAAAATTAGCCTAGCATAGTGACATGTGCCTGTAGTCCCAGCTACTCCAGAGGCTGAAGTGGAAGGATTACCTGAGTCAGGGGAGATTGAGGCTGCAGTGAGTTGTGATCACACCACTGCACTCCAGTCTGAGTGACACAGTGAGACGCTGTCTCAAAAAAAAAAAAAACTCCAAAACAAAAAAAAATACAGATGCACCTCACTTTATAATAAATATACTCCTAGAAGACTAAATATGCAAACTGAACTTTTATAAATGAAATTTTAGAAATGCATCAATCTATATGAAATTGTTTTTAAAAGTATTTTTATCTGTTTTGTCATTTTCACATATCTTGCTTCTTTCAAGATTCACTTATAGTGCTTTTCTGCAGTCAGAACTGCTAGATTTTTAAGTATCCTGAAATTATTAGGTTTGTGCAAAAGTAACTGCAGTTTTTGCCATTACTTTTAACCACAATTACTTTTGCACCAATCTATATGTAAATACATAAATATGTGAAATAAAACACAATTACTTTATGTTGTTTATTTAAGAAAAAAATGAAACATACTTCTTTTTTTTTCCTTTCTTCTTCTTTTCTCTTCTTTTCCTCTCTGATTTGGGCCAGTCGCTGCTTCTTACGTTCCAACTCAGCCTTTAATTCACTTTTGTCTGACATGTTTGTGACCTTAGAAACATGTAATCGTTACATTAGTAAAAGCAGTACAGTTGAAAAAACTAGTGTTCCAAGAAGAGAACTGTCCCAAAAGGCCATATAGTTCAATGCTATCTCAAAAGAGCACAAAAATCTTACTTTTAAAATAATGGGGCTGGGCAGTAGCTTACTTTGGGAGGCTAAAGTGGGAGGACTGCTTTCAGGCCATGAGTTTGAGACCAGCCTGGGCAACACAGCAAGACCCCATCTCTACCAAAAAAAAAAAAAAAAAAGGCAAGAAAAATAAAAAATTAGGGGGGCATGGTGGCATGTGCCTGTAGTCCCAACTACTTGGAAGGATTGCTGGAGCCCAGGAAGTCAAGGCTGCAGTGAGCCGTGATCATGCCAAAGCACTCCAGCTTAGGCAGCAGAGCGTCTCTAAAAAATAAACTTTTAAAAAATAAAATAAAGGAAGCATATATATTATTACTAAGACTTAAAAAATGTATAAACAAATATATATAAATACCTAGAGTAGAGCACAGTAGCTAGCCTATAGTAAGCACTTTAATGTTTGCATACACAATGTCTCAAAGTTTTTGATGACAATATAGTAGGTACCCAAGATAAAGGTCAAAACTGGCTCTTAAAACAGAGGACAAGGTTTGGCATTTAGAAGCTCTTAAGCTATATGACAGGGATCAAAACTATTACCAATCCTATTGCATTCATAGAAACTTGACAAAAAACAATAGGAAGTCAAACTGAAAATTTCTGTAAGTTCTAAAAGTGCTGTAGTAATACTAAAGACAAGCAAAATGCCAGAGTTACCATCATTAGCTATCAAATCAAATGACTTTGTATTTCTCCACAACAACACCTTACCTATATCTTGTGATGGCACTTTTAGTACAATTATTTGTGGACATACCTGAAATGTTCCCTATTAGATTGTAATGTACTTGAAATCAGGGACTGTTTTTTAGTTATTTTTGTCGTCTTCACAACATCCGGCAGAAGGATCTTAACATTACAATTGACACTGGCTAATGAATAATAGATACGGTAGACAGAATTACAAACTGAGCTTCAAAAACCAATTGCATTAACACTACTTCAGCTTGAGTTTTAGGAAGAAGCAATGAATTAGGATTTTTTTTTTTTTTAAAGTAGCCTAGCAGCTGAGCGTAAGGCAGGAGCCAGGAACTCGTTACCTTTTCCACAGGATTGACTTATTGCCTAATGATCAATCTCTTTCAATGTCCCTGTACAAGTGAAGTATTAAATGCTTTAGATCAAGAAAACTAGGAGAATAACCTCTGACAGTTTTGTATTCCCAGAGGTTAGGGAAAATCTCTTAAAAAGCACAATTGTTAAATCTGAATAAAGGTAAGTCAGTCAAGAGGAGAAATTCACCTACTAACAAATGGATAAAGCAAATTTCAGCTACTAAACTCCATTAAGACTGGCAAGCGAATTGACAATTTTCAAGCATACGAAAAGGATGAAAAGTTGACATGGCAGACCCTGAAATACATACACAGTATTTGAACAAACTAAAAGCAAGTGACCGTGTTTCTTATTCCACCCTTTCTACACCTCTAAACAGCTCCATCCAAACGGCTGGTGAAGAGAACTTCCATACGTAACTGTATGCTACGCTAGGCATATTATGCTTTGCTCAACGTCAACTGTAAAATAGATATACCAACACTAATTGATATTAAAACAAGCGCATTTTTAGTTAAAGCCCAACAACAAAGTCTTGACCAGCTGAACTATAGCTGACCAATCCTCTCATCCTCACAGAAGCCAGAGCCTTCCTCCATGACTGACATGTTCACGTTCTTAAAACTCAAGAGAAGAGAGACTCTAGAGTTTTGTGCTAGAACCTCCGTGTTCGGGGACTTTCCATCACACTTAAGGTGAGAGGAGACCCTATCAAGGCAAGTAGAGATGGCCTTAATTAGTAACATGGGGCAAGGCGAAAAGGAATCACCTTCTCCCCTGGGGTCACCGCCAGGAGGGCGCGGTCCAGGGCAGGGAGTCCAGGAGAAGCCAGTGGGCGCCGGAGAAGCCTCAAGGCTCCCCAGGCCGCCTCTGGAGGGTCGAGAAGGGAAAGGAGTGGACTCCTCTCGCCGCGCCGCCCTGAGTCACCGCACCCGGGTCTCCCCGCTTTTCCTCCCCAAAGCCGGGCCGGGCGGGGCTGTCAGCAGGAACTGCCAAGCCGCCCTTCGAATTGCGACGTGGAACACAGGCGGGGAGGCCTTGAGGGATCAACAGTCAACCCACCTGCCAGGTGACTGGATGAGGAAGAAACCTCCCGCTTGCAACTTCCCGGTAACGTCTCTCGCCTAAGCCCCCAACACCAACTGTAGCCACCACCAGCTTCGCAGCTTTCCAAAGCACACAAAGAGGGATGGGCGGCGGCTGCTACGGCGAGAGCTTAGGGACAAATATCCTCACCAGAACGAGGTCGCTCCAGAAATAAAAGGTGGGGCCCTGCTACGAGGAATTATAGCTCCTCCGTGACTTACCTGTCGTAAAGCAGAAGCCGGTAGATAAAACAAAGAACCCAGCAAACCCAGGGGCCTTAAGTATTTCCGCTTTGCCAAAAACTGGAAAACTACGCCTAATATCCTCGGGCCAGGAATCCAACTACCGCCCTTGCCTTACAAACTGACACGACCGGGAAGAACTACAAGCCCCGGCAACAAGGAAAATCTGCGTGCGGCGAGCAGTGCATTCTGGGAATTGCAGTCACTGGGCGTTGCAAGGTGTGCTGGGACATGTAGTGTGTCCCCTCCTTTAGGTTTCCAACTCTAAGGCCTTCTTCCGTTGAGAAGCTTCTCTGTATTCTCGTCTATTGATCCGTGCGCACAGTGTAGTATGTGTTGTAGTGTAAGATCTTTGACCCAACATTGGCAGAATTTTAAGAAGGGCTATTTTCCAGTCGTGAACCTGTGAATCACACTGCTGCACATTTGGTGAAGACACGAAGTAGACTTTTTAGGATGTAAAACATATATATATGTACATACGATGTAAGTTTTAGGGAAAAAATGTCTTATAGAGGCTTCATGTGGCATCTTAGGCAAAATCTAAATAAAAATATGTCAACCGACATAGCAAATAATTCTTCAGTATTTTGTTGCAGTGTGGTAGCATTTTGGTTTTCTCTCAAAGAATTTTAGGAGGTAAAGCATTTTGTACTATTAGACTCTCAAACCAAGCTAGAATGTTTTTCACAGTTAGATTTTTAACATACAAAGAAAAGTTACTGGAACATGAATTTACCAGCAATGTATGCGTTGATACACCTTTTTAAAGTTTAAATAATTTAAAGCATTATTTGGCAGGAGTTAAAGCTAACATCAAGGCAATATCTTTCCTATGTTATAGAAAACTGATTGTTCTAGAAGTTCTAGATATTGCCCAAGTCTAGAATGAACCTTTATGATTCAAATTCCAAGTCATTGGGTTTGTGGTCTTTTTCTTACCTTTTTCTGTATTATCTGTGGTCTTTCGTATAGAAAAAAAATCCTAAAAATGAATTTGAGAAAGAAAATCCTTGGCTTTCCACGGCTTTTCCCAATAACCTAACATTCAAAGAGCTTTATAGCTATGTTATTTTCTTACTTCTTTCCTAATATTTAGTTTTCATTTATTAATTTGAAAAAACTATATTATCGATTGCCTACCATATGCCAGGAATGGTGATGGGTGCTGTATTAAGAACTAAAATGGACCAGGCGCGGATGTAATCCCACACTTTGGGAGGCCGAGGCAGGCAGATCACCTGAGCTCAGGAGTTAGAGACCAGCCTGGGCAACATGGTGAAACCCCGTCTCTACAAAAAATTAAAAAATTAGCAGGGTGTGTGGCGTGTGCCTGTAGTCCCAGCTACTCACGAGGCTGAGGCAGGAGGATGGCTTGCGCCTAGGAGGCGGAAGTTACAGTGAGCTGAGATCGCACAATTGCATTCCAGCCTGGGAGACAGAGCAAGACCCTGCCTCAAAAAAACAAAACAAAACAACAACAACAAAACTGCGCATCCTTCTTCTCAAGGGAGAAAGACAGGACACTCACTCAACTAATTATGGATGGCGTCTGACTGATAGTTTAACTTACGATTTTTTTTTTTCTCATTACGATGGGCTTATTAGAGTAAAATGCATTTTCAACATATATTTTCAACTTAAAATGGGTTTATCAGGACATAACTCAAGGCGCATCTCTATAATGATGGGATTAGGTAAGGAAGTCATAGAAACACCTGGAAAAACTTTTCAGGAAACTTCTGGAAGGAGGTGGTTCTAGAGCTAAGTCTTTGATTCTCAGAGGCTGTGTAGAAGAAGTTAGCCAAGCAGATTCAGAAAGGTACCTTGGGAAGAGAAAAAAATATGGACAAAGGACAGAGGTGTGAGAGCACAGAATGCTGGTGAATCTGGAAATAATTCACAGTGGCCATAGGCTAAGACAGGAACTGGGGAATGAAGCCATAAGCAGGGGCAAAGTCGCACATCCCGGTTTAGATTTAGTCCTACAGATTATGTAAATCCACTGATAGATTTTAAGCGGGTGCATGGTGTGATAAGGTTTGCATTTTAGGTAGCTGACCTTTCAAAGTAGTCTGGAGAAAGACTAACATGCTGGTTATTTTCTTTGCCCCCCAGATTCATTTCCTGCCCTTCTCTGCTAAGCTCTATGCCTCTGAGGGTTGACCTCAGTTTCTTTAAGGACTGCCTTGTGATTGGACATAAAGAAGGCCAAGGCAAGGATATCAGAAGGTGGGTAGAAAGGGAAATTGGGGCGTCTCTTCCTTGCTCCTTCCTTCTTTGAGTGTCACATGTCTGGCAACAGCTTCATTCCTTCATGACTATAGTAGCTGCCAGATGGCTCTTTCTCCATGGCTCTAGTTTTCGCCGGGCTCTCTGGTGATTTTATGTTCTCCTTTTATCTCTTGAACACCTCCTCTGTAGCTAGTCTCTGAGTGCCTCATCATCTCTTGTTTGTTCCCTTACTACCTGCTCACCCCTCTGTAACTCGTCATTTCATTAAAGTATTTTCATATGAACTATCTTGTGAATTCTGTTTCTTGTTGAGACCCTTATTGATACAGCTTGCCTAGAGGGATGAGAGGTGGAGAAAAGAGGTAAGGTAGAGACTGGAAGCAGGGAATGCAACTGGAAGACTTTTGGGTAGAGCCAGCATTTATAAATGCATGAACTAATGCATCATCAGTGAGAATCAAGAAAAGCAGATGGATTGGAGAGATGTTAAGATTATGTGAGACTTCTACAGCAGTAAAACAGACTAGATACCCCTTCCCACTGAAAACCACTAAATATGCTGACTGGATAATATAGCTTTTAGGTGGGTACAGTGGCTCTTGCCTGTAATCCCAGCACTTTGGGAGGCCAAGGTGGAAGGATCACTTGAGCGCAGGAGTTTGAGACCAGACTGGGCAAGATGACAAAACCCCATTTCTATGAAAAATTTAAAAATTAGGTATGATGGCACTCACTTGTAGGCCCAGCGACTTGGGAGGCTGAGGGCAGGAGGATTGCTTGAATCCAGGCATTTGAGGCTGCAGTGAGCTATAATCACACCATTGCACTCCAGCCTGGGTGACAGAGTGACATCCTGTTGCTTAAACAAATAAAATTTTTAAAAAATGTTTTAAGATATAAAATATGTAACTAAAAAACCCCCATGTTTTTGTTGTTTTATTTTTAACACTTTTTTGAAGAAACCCATTATCAGCACTGATTAGAAAGACTGTACCCTAGACATTACATAGTTCAAACCACTATGTCTTCCTACTTTTTAAGTTGGAAGGGCTGGGGAGGAATCCTAATAAGCGTATGTGCTGCAGGGTGTTTTCGAAAGGGAGAATTTGCATTTTAAAAATTCTTATAATGGTTTGTAGGAGAGGGTAGAAATATATACAGATGAATTTGTTGAACAAATTCATATCTGGATTTACATTTGAGTTCAATATGCCAATGTTTGCAAAATTTTAATACAATTACTATATTGACATAATGTAGGATTTCATTTATATAGAATGCAAATCAGGTAAAACTAATGAAATGTCAGAATAGTGGCTATTGAGGTATGGGGTATTGATGGCAAGAGACATGGGGAGGCTTTTTTTCATTTCTTCATCTGGTGGGGGTTACACACATTTACATATCTATAAAACATTCATCGACCTCTACCCTCAACATGGGTCCTTTTTATTGTATGTATGTTATATTAAAAAAATAGTTAAGAAAAAAGTAGCTATTAAACCATGGGACTTAAACAAATGTATAAAACATCAAAAAGATGTAGCAAACACCAAATTGGAAGAGGAAGGAATTTGAAGGGGTTAAAAATGTATTCTGCTACCCAGCAGTTCAGGCATCTCAAAATATTCCAGGAACTCTAGTACGTCCCAAGTAATCAGCTAGAGCATCTGTAGCCATTTGTTGATAACCTTGTTATATACATCCTCATCATACAAGTTTTTAATGAAATTATGTTGTGAAAAGAAAGTTGTGGCTCCATAGCAATGCATGAAACTTTCTAGTAATTATACTTTCAGTGTTCTTGTGTAAATGTCACTTGATTGGTTTATAAATTTGCTAAAATGACATGTAAAATTTAATACACACATTCTTGTGACCTTCTTACCATGCAAAGAACATATTTCCCAGGACCTTTTCATAAATATTGGATCGTTATTATTTTTTCCACATTTTAATCAGAGGCCCTCTAAGATTTCACTTTGGTTAAGTTCACGAGGTTTCTACCAGATTGCCTGTGGAATCTTAAGATTGTTCGTTCTTCTCATGTTAACAGCTCTGAGTCACTTGTGTTTTTAATTTTTTTCGAAATATTTCCACTTCACCTTCGGGAAATGTATTTGACCCTTTTAGAAACATTGGCATAAGAAAATATTTTCTTCCAACTTTGGAAACTATCTTGACTTTCCCATTTCCTCTCATGTCTAAGAGAAGCTCTTTAAGAAACTATCTTCACTCAGGGGAGTGTTCATGAGCTGACCAGCAAGTCTCTGATAATTTAACAGCATTACTTTTCTATTATCCTTATTATTGTTCTAGTCTGTATTTTTCCCTTTGGAGTGTTTGCTGCATTGTTAACTTAATATAGGTTTTTTTTTTCATTATTACCTCTACTTGTCTTGATGCACATATTTTCTCTCTTAGTGTCAAAATAAGGTGATGGTGAATTATGAGTCCCTTCTGAGCCTAGAATACTTTTGTAATCTGGTAACCTTTGGCATGAAGCACATATCCTAGTGAATGATGGAGCACTTAAGAGTGATTCGCCACTGAGCATTACAGAAAATAGGCTGAGGGGCTCACAAATTCAAGGCAAGTTCCTTCTACTCAGCATGGTGTATATACTGCACTCTCACTTTCCTACCCCCTATTATGTGGTTAAGAGAGAGGAGATA